TGTGAAAGAGAGAGAGAGAGTGTGTGTGAGTGTGTGTGTGTTATCCCAGCAGTGATGCTGCAGTCTATTAGCCTGGCAGCTAACTGACCCCAAATGTGCGTTCATATTCATGTCAGATCACGCACAGGTTCTGCTGCACACCGAGCGCGTGTGTGTATCGGGCTGTGTTTGTTTTATTAGCGCTGTGAGACCCGTGATCAGTCAGTCAGTCATCTGAGGCGAACACTGGCACTGATGAATCAAAACATGACACTCCAGCCGTGTCTTACCTGGACAGATGCTTCAGGATCTGCTTCTTAATGATCCCGGCCATCCCGTCAGACCAGCTACCTCTCCAGCATCTTCAGAAATCTGTCGCTGACACACACACACACACACACACACTCATACACGCCGCTCACGACCCGCTGCCGCTGCTGCTGCCGCTGCTGCTGCCGCCCGAAACAAGTGCAGCGCCGCCGACTGCATGTCAAATGAAAAGACCTCATTAGAGAAGAGGGCTCAGGCTCAGAGTCAGAAAGAGCTTTATTGCTGAGTGTGCGTGCTCACACGAGGAATACTGCTTGGCAATGAAGCTTCGAGCGAACACATATAAATAAAAAATAAATTAACTAATTAAAAAATAAAAAATATGAAAACATATGAAGACTGGTTAAGTCAGAATAGAATATTTAAAATATAAAGATTATGTACATAAATATGAGTGAAGTTACAGAATATGACTAAACCACTCAGCAAAACTTTCTAAATTCAAACTTCTAAATAAGCTAAAACAAATAAAAACCAAGATATTAAAATATTTTTATATTTTAAGTCACCCCTATCACCCCTATTCAATCATATCTATCTATCTATCTATCTATCTATCTCTCTCTCTCTCTCTCTGTGTGTGTGCGTGTGTATGTATGTGCGAATGGTGAGGGCGAGTGGAGCGCGTTGTGAGTGTGAGCGTTTTGTGCCATTGAGGCTTCTTTTTCAAACTTTCTTTTTTTATGTTATATGAGTTTATTGATCTTTGTCTGTACTTTGTGTGTTGTGGCTGGGTGATACAAGGGTTGTTAAAATTTAGGGCGTTATACGCCGGTGTTTTTCAAACACCGAGTGTTTGTGTGTGTGTGTGTGTGTGTGTGCGCGCGCGTGAGTGTGTGTGCGTGTGTGTGTGTGTGTGTGTGTGTGTGTGTGAGTGAGTGTGTGATTTATAATAATATATACATAATTGCTAATCTAAAGACTACTACTTGCCATTTACTCCTACACCATTACATCGAAGAAGTCAATGACTGGAGCTTAAAGCATATCATAATGTATTTACTTTAAATGTATTTACTAAGAACCTGTTATATATAGTGTTCATTTCAGATAAACTTATCAGTGCATCAACACACTGTAGTTCAAAGTACACTATAATGTAGTTTAATATAATATCATGTAATTTACATCCCGCCGTAAGGCCAAACTTAACAGATAACAAAAGAAAAACAGGTAAACTCAGTTATTTTACAACCTCCCTCAAGGTTAACTATTCATCAAGAAAAAAGATCAGTGTAGAAAAGGGCTGTTGAGTACAACGTTAATTACATTATTTAAACAACATTTCAAAATGAAAAAGAAGAGAGTTTATAGCTTATAGACACAGCTTAAAAAGTTTATACTTATTGAAATATTTATGCCAAGTATATTTAAGGTAACTATTTATTTGTATTATTCTGATTAGTTCGTTTGTTTGTTTTAATCAATCTTTAAAGGCAAAAAGGCTTTTATTTTGAATTTTTAGAAGATGTGTTACAGGAAGTAAAAAGCTGATTCTGGCTTCACGCTTCCTGATTGATATAAATACGCTCTTACTGTTATTTTCTTTTAGATGAGTGTATGTTGATTTACTGTTTATAAACTGATACAGGAGGTATGTTACATACGTATGTCTTACTTGCCCTTTGTGTGTGCAGAAAGCACATTTTGTACTTTTAGAAATGGAGATGATAAGTCTTGTTTTCAATGTAAACTCTAGATGCGAGCTCCATAAAGAGCTAATCAACAAGCACAGTGTCAGTCTATACAATCGGAAAGCTGTCAGCACATCATATTCCGTTTAGGTTGGTCTGTTACTGTAAGGTTGACTTTAATTATGATTGTTATGAGTGTTAATTGTTTTGGTGGGGATGATTTAGTTTGTGTGTTTCTGTGCTATCAGACTGACACTTATTATGATTTATGATATTTGTTATGATTAGGCACAAACCAGAAAACATAATTAGAGAACAATTACATTGCATCACAATACAAGCATGGTCTCAATGAATGAGAAAATAGAGTTTGAGTTGAGTTTATTCAGACTGTGTTCCTCTGCTTTTGTGGCAGGCGCCTGAAGCACAATGCCTTCTTTTGGCTCGGAGGAGACGGTAAAAGAGCTCAAGCGAGCTCTGTCCAATCCAAATGTCCAAGCAGACCGTCTCCGGTACAAAAACTACATCACCAAAGTCATCAGGTCCGTGAAGTGATCACCTTGTTTTTAATGAAGGAGACAGTTTTCAAAAGGACAAACAAATTGCTTACCCAAAAATGAAAAAGATACTATCCCTGATATTATCCCGTGCAACAGAAACCTAGATATTTAGCAGAATGTTCAAATTGCTAATTAGGCACAAACCAGAAAACATAATTAGAGAACAATTACATTGCATCACAATACAAGCATGGTCTCAATGAATGAGAAAATAGAGTTTGAGTTGAGTTTATTCAGACTGTGTTCCTCTGCTTTTGTGGCAGGCGCCTGAAGCACAATGCCTTCTTTTGGCTCGGAGGAGACGGTAAAAGAGCTCAAGCGAGCTCTGTCCAATCCAAATGTCCAAGCAGACCGTCTCCGGTACAAAAACTACATCACCAAAGTCATCAGGTCCGTGAAATGGTCACTTTTTTTTTTTTACTGAAAGAGACACTTATCAAAAGTACAAATGAATAGCTTACCCAAAAATTTAAATTATCAGCTCACCCTCATATTATCCTGTGAAACAGAAACAGAGATATTTAGCAGAATGTTCAAACTGCTCCTTTCCATACAGTGAAAGTGAATTAAATACAATGAAATTGAGACTTGTTGTCAAGAATCAAAAGGACAAAAAGCACCAAACAATCACAGAAAACCTGGAAATATCAGCAATTTAAAATAGTGTTTCCAAGCCTGGAATAATAATTGGAAAATATTAATTAATTATAAATAAATAAATATTATAAATAATGCATCAGCTAGATATTGCTTGTGTAGAGTGTGTACAATATAAATTGTTTGCAAGAAATAGTGATGTGAACAAATTGTTCCTTTGAGCTGACACTGAATGAATCAGTTGAACTGGTTCACAAATCAGTTTGAAGGATTTATTAGCAAATGAAATCTGAATTATTTCTTATCCATTAAATATTATCTGGTAATTGCACATGACAGGTTCATGGAAAAGTCATGAAAATTCATTGGTTAAAAATCATTGAGCAAAAAAGTATCATGAAGTAGTCATATATTCTAAGCCTTATAAAGCAGCAACTGTAAAGAAACAGAATAACATTCAAGTCATTATTCATTGCACTTTACAGCTTGATTTCCACCTTAACTCTTATTGTTAGTTAGACAGAACTAAATGTTGACAAATAAGACATAAAGCAATTTCTGAGACTGTTGTTTGTTTCTTTGTAGGTACATGACACAGGGTCTGGATGTCTCAGCTTTATTTATGGACATGGTAAAAGCCAGTGCCACAGTGGATATTGTTCAGAAGAAGCTGGTATATCTGTACATGTGCACCTATGCCAGTGACAAGCCTGACCTGGCACTACTGGCCATCAACACGCTCCGTAAGGACTGTGCTGATCCCAATCCCATGGTGCGAGGGTTGGCCCTGAGGAACATGTGCAACTTCAGGTTTGTATGTTTTAAATAATTAATTTTCTTCTGTCTGCACTCAAACAATAAGCCTTGCAACACCCTAGCAACCTCCTGACCTCCCTTTAGCAATCACTTAGCAACTCCCTTGCAACCTTTCAGAATTCTACAACAACAACAACCTAGCAACCCCCTAACAACAACCACCAGGGCACCCTAGCAATCACTTAGACACCCTAGCAACCATTCAGAACACAATAACAACAGCCAAACAATGTCCCAGAACACCACAACAATCAGCCTAGTAACCCCCTAACAACCACCCAGAACATGGCGACAACATTCAAACAATGCCCCAGCAATAAACACTGCAACAGTCGGCTTCGCTACACAACGCCCAAGCAACTACCCAGGACACCTTAGTGATCACTTAGCAATAGCCTAGCAACCTCCCAGGATACTGCAACAACATCTTAGCAACATCCTAACAAGTAATGCCCTAGCAACCACACAGGACCACCAACAACCACCAAGGCAACTTAGCAATCACTTAGACACCCAAGCAACCATTCAGAACACAATATCAACAGCCAAACAAAGGCCCAGAAAACCACAACAGTCAGCCTTGCAACACCCTAACAATCAACATCCTAGCAACCTCCTAGAACATTTTAGCAATAACTTAGCAACTCCCTTGCAACCATTCAGAATTCTACAACAACAACAACCTAGCAACCCCCTAACAACCACCCAAGGCACCTTAGCAATCACTTAGACACCCTAGCAACCACTGAGTACACAACAACAACAACCAAACAGTGTCTTAGAACACCACAGCAATCAGCCTTGCAACACCCTAACAAGCAACGTGATCTCTCAGGACACGGCAACAACATTTTAGCAACATCCTAACAAGTAATGCCCTAGCAACCACACAAGACCACCAACAAACACCCAAGGCACCTTAGCAATCACTTAGACACCCTAGCAACCATTCAGAACACAATAACAACAGCCAAAAAATGTCCCAGAACACCACAACAATCAGCCTAGCAACCCCCTAACAACCACCCAGAACATGGCGACAACATTCAAACAATGCCCCAGCAATAAACACTGCAACAGTCGGCTTCGCTACACAACGCCCAAGCAACTACCCAGGACACCTTAGTGATCACTTAGCAATAGCCTAGCAACCTCCCAGGATACTGCAACAACATCTTAGCAACATCCTAACAAGTAATGCCCTAGCAACCACACAGGACCACCAACAACCACCAAGGCAACTTAGCAATCACTTAGACACCCAAGCAACCATTCAGAACACAATATCAACAGCCAAACAAAGGCCCAGAAAACCACAACAGTCAGCCTTGCAACACCCTAACAATCAACATCCTAGCAACCTCCTAGAACATTTTAGCAATAACTTAGCAACTCCCTTGCAACCATTCAGAATTCTACAACAACAACAACCTAGCAACCCCCTAACAACCACCCAAGGCACCTTAGCAATCACTTAGACACCCTAGCAACTACTGAGTACACAACAACAACAGCCAAACAGTGTCTTAGAACACCACAGCAATCAGCCTTGCAACACCCTAACAAGCAACGTCATCTCTCAGGACACGGCAACAACATTTTAGCAACATCCTAACAAGTAATGCCCTAGCAACCACACAAGACCACCAACAAACACCCAAGGCACCTTAGCAATCACTTAGACACCCTAGCAACTACTGAGTACACAACAACAACAGCCAAACAGTGTCTTAGAACACCACAGCAATCAGCCTTGCAACACCCTAACAAGCAACGTCATCTCTCAGGACACGGCAACAACATTTTAGCAACATCCTAACAAGTAATGCCCTAGCAACCACACAAGACCACTAAACACTGCAACAGTCGGCTTCGCTACACAACGCCCAAGCAACTACCCAGGACACCTTAGTGATCACTTAGCAATAGCCTAGCAACCTCCCAGGATACTGCAACAACATCTTAGCAACATCCTAACAAGTAATGCCCTAGCAACCACACAGGACCACCAACAACCACCAAGGCAACTTAGCAATCACTTAGACACCCAAGCAACCATTCAGAACACAATATCAACAGCCAAACAAAGGCCCAGAAAACCACAACAGTCAGCCTTGCAACACCCTAACAATCAACATCCTAGCAACCTCCTAGAACATTTTAGCAATAACTTAGCAACTCCCTTGCAACCATTCAGAATTCTACAACAACAACAACCTAGCAACCCCCTAACAACCACCCAGAACATGGCGACAACATTCAAACAATGCCCCAACAATCAGCCTTGCAACACCCTAACAAGCAACATCCTAGCAACCTCCCAGGACACTTTAGCAATAACTTAGCAACTCCCTCCCAACCATTCAGAATTCTAAAACAACAGCCTGGCATCCATTCAAGACACCGTAGCAACCCCATAACAACCCCCCAGAACACATTGACAACATTTCCCCAGCAATAAACACTGCAACATTTGGCCTTTGCTACACTCAACACCCTAGCAACTTCCCAGGACACTTTAGCGATCATTTAGCAATAAACTAGCAACCTGCCAGAACACTGCAACAATATCTTAGCAACACCCTAACAAGTAACGCCATAGCAACCACACAAGACCACCTAGCAATCACCCTGGCAACCTAGCAACCATTCAGAACACAACAACAACAGCCTAGCAACACTCTAGCAGCCATCACCCTAGCAACCATCCAAGACACCCTAGCAATCACCTAGCAACCCCTTAACATCCACCCAGAACACTACAATAGTCAAGCTATGACTCAGCAATGCCCCAGAACATCCTAACAAGCAACAACCTTGCAACCACACAAAACTCTGAAACAACACCCTAGCAACCATCTTAGGAATCACTTAGCAACAACTCAGAGACCATTCAAAACAAAACAACAGCCTAGCAACACCCTAGCAGTCACCTAGCAACAACAGACTAGTAATTTCCCAACAACGTCCCAGACAACCAATCAGAACACTCTGGAATCATGGTTGTGAGATTTGCATGAGCAGCTCCCCCACATTTTCTTCATGTGCATTTCTTCACACCCTTTAACTTTGTGAAAATCATGGTGTAAAACAGTCTACAGTGGAATATTTCTTCAATAAATACTAAGCTACTGTGTCTACCTGTCCTAATTGACATGCTTCCTTTTATTTGCTTGTTTTTCAGGATGCCGGGAATGACAGAGTACATAGAGCAGCCCATTGTTGCTGGTCTGCGGGACAAGGCCAGTTACGTAAGGAGAGTCGCTGTGCTTGGTTGTGCCAAAATGCACAGTCTGCAGCCCAACACAGAGATAGGTAGAGTCAAGTATTCTGTTTATCTTAATTGTAATACTAGTTAAGGATAATGTGATGAATATTGCTTGCTTATTTTAATACATGTGCATAAAAAGTCATAAGCAGAGCGATTTATAATTTTGGGTCAGACAGCTCCCTTTAAAGGAATGTTTCTGGTGATTGTGATGACTAACAGCATGTCAAGAATTCTTAACTGAAAAGAACATATTTTCAGCAGAACATATCACATACTTGTAGACAACCCGTTGGATTGCATTTTTGTTGGAAACTAAAACCTACTAACTTTTCATCAAAAGCAGGGCAAAACCAGGAAATGTTGATCACAATGCTTCTAAACAGCAGTACAGTACAGTGGCATTTCCTGTATTTCCTAAATGCGCAGTGTATTTATAGCCGCAGGGGCTTTGAATAGCCTTTCTGTAAGGGTCCAGTTAATGTTTTTATGTAATGAATGTAGAATGTCCAAAAATGAAAATTAGCGGAATGTGTACTCACCCTCAGGTCATCCAAGATGTAGATGAGTTTGTTTCTTCATCAGATTTGGAGAAATGTAGCATTGCATCACTTGCTCAGCAATGGATCCTCTGCAGTGAATGGGTGCCGTCAGAATGAGAGTCCAAACAGCTGATAAAAACATCACAATAATCCTCAAGTAATCCACACCACTCCAGTCCATCAGTTAACGACTCTTGTGTAAGAAACAAATCCATCATTAAGATGTTTTTAACTTAAAACCGTTGCTTCTGGCCGAAATACAAGACCACAATCCATAATAACACTTCCTCCATTGAAAAAGTCCAACCCCTGTTGTCTTCTCACATCAAAATCCATCAACATATTTGTTTAGAGCTGTTTTACACTGTTTTTGTTTGACTTTTTCATTGGAGAAAAAAACAGTATTATGACTAGAGGACTCGTATTTTAGCCAGAAACAACATCTTAATGATGGATTTGTTTCTTAAGAACATGCAGCTTTTCACTTCACAAGATGTTAACTGATGGACTGGAGTGGTGTGGATTACTGTGATGTTTTTATCAGCTGTTTGGACTCTCATTCTGACGGCACCCATTCACTGCAAGAGGAGCCATTGATGAGCAAGTGATGCAATGCTAAATTTTCAGCAAATTTTCATTTTTGGGTGAACTATTCCTTTAAGTCTCTGTCTGCCAAATGAATACATGTAAATAAATGTTCTGGATGTGTGTCTTTTAGATGGCATTATAGTAAATGAGCTGTATGCTCTTCTGAGGGACCCAGACCCTGTGGTTGTAGTGAACTGTCTTCGTGCCTTGGAGGAAATTCTCAAAGATGAGGGGGGTGTGGTTATTAACAAACCCATTGCTCATCACCTTCTCAACAGGTGTGCCGTGTTTGCCATTATGTTATTAAAATAGTTCATCCAAGCATGTCATGTTTGTCATGAAAACTCACCCTCATTTGTTTTAAGAATGTCAAAAATTTAGTTTAAATCATGTGTTAAGTTCTATGCAGGAAATTTATATTTATAGCTTTATATTAATCTTGGTTTTGTATGGTTTTGAAAAAAAAAAAAAACTATTTTACGGTGGCCGAGAAGTGAAAAGCAAATCACAATTCTGAAAACAAAATAACAAATTACAAACGCAAATGCAAGTCTAAAAAACAAAATAACAATTCAGAAAGCACAACAACAATTCAGAAAACATTATAACAAGTCAGAAAACACAACGACAAATCAGACAAACCGCAAGAAGATTTTTAGATTAATGACTTTGTCAAGTAAAAAATAGTAACATTTTCCTTACACCTTGAATACATTTGTGTATGCTTTTTAATCGGTAAATTTCCATTACTTAAAAACTATTTTGAAACAAAATTTCAGCTAGTTGCCAAGGCAACATTTCTCATTTAAATTTAGTTTAACTTGATGTACTAAAATAACTGGAATTAAAAATGGAATTAAAAAAAACTATACAGACATATGTAAAAAAAAAAAAAAAAGTCATCAAAATTACTAAAACTTTAACTACCATTCAAATATAACAACTGATTCTGAATATTAATTACAAACTATAATAATATCTCAATACTAAAACAACACTTGTATATTTATATACTATTATATTATTCATCAATTTTCAATGAGCTCTTGTTTTTATATTTTTAGTTTTAATTTTAATCTTAGTTTAGGTTTTAGTAATTTTGTTACAGGCATTTCTATTTAGCTTTAATTTAATTGTCTGTTTTAGTTTTAATTTTAGTACTTCAGCTTAAACTTATTCCAGTAAGTTGCCACGGCAACATTTTTACTTTAAATTTTTTAAGTTTTTCATTGAATATTTGTATTTTATTTCAGCTTTATTTCAATTTCCGAAAATGTATTTTAATGGTTTTAGTATTAGTTAACAATATCAACACATCAATTAGTTAACAATTTCAAAGTTGCATTTTTGCAGGACAAAAGTTTTTCAAAGGCTTTCAAAAGCATCATGTATGTCTTTGACCTTTTTAACAGATTGTCTAATGACTGACTTTGTGTTTTTTTTTATGTGTTTTGTCCTTCAGAATGAATGACCTGGACAGTTGGGCTCAGAGTGAAGTCCTCACCTTCCTGCTACGTTACCGTCCTCGTAGCGATGACGAGTTGTTCAACGTCCTCAGCCTACTAGACGCCTTCCTCCAAAGCGCTCATGCACATGTCGCAGTTGCCACGCTCCGCCTCTTCCTTCATTTAGCCTCCGCCCACCCGGCTGTGCAGGCCGATGCCCTCCTGCGCACAAGTGCGCCCCTGCTGGCCACCTGCGGTGCTGCGTCGCGCGAGCTTCGCTTTGCTGGGCTCTGTCACGTACAGCAGGTCATGCGGAGTCAGCCGGGCCTTTTCGGCACACATTACAAACGCTTCTTTTGTGGATACTCTGAACCGACTTACATTAAGTTTCGCAAGATGGAGATCTTGGTGGAGCTGGTGAATGATGAAAATGTGGCTTTGGTTTTGGAGGAGCTGAGAAGCTACTGCACTGATGTGTCTCCTGAACTGGCCCAGGCAGCCATTGCTGCTATAGGTACCACATCTCATAAGACGCTGCTTGTTTCTCTCAGACGTTTGATTAAATAATCGTAAACCACGGAATCTTTATTTTGAGGAGCAAATTTCAAATTGGCTGCTGTAAGCATTTTGCACAATTAAGGCCCGTTCACACCAAGGACGGTAACTATAAAGATAACAATCGTTCTCAATATTAAAGAATAGCAGAGTCCATACCACAACTATAACGATAAAAACAGAGAAACGAGATCGTTGGAATCACTTACAAAATGTTTTTTTTCCAGCTGATGAACGATAAAAAACTGACAGCCAATCAGAATCCATCCTGCTGTAACGAGCTCGTGAATTTAAAGTGGCAGACGAGCGTGCGCTTAGAATAAACCGACGATATCGTGGACGCTAATATCGTTATCTTTATAGTTATCGTTCTTGGTGTGAACAGGGCTTTAGGGTACAAAATTGGCTTTAAACTTTTTTTATTCTTATTTTTAACAAATAATGAGGTACCTAACTTTCAGAAAATGTTGTTTGCCCACTTCATCAGGTCAAACTATTCATTCATTCATTCATTCAACTGAGAATTATTTTGCGATTTATGCAACCCTTTTGTTAAAATTTGGGGCATGTCTAAATATAGTTTACAACCCTTGTTTGTGTGTTTTCATTTAGTAATACATTGTAAATTAACAAATGTAACAAGTTATTTATATATTAATGGAATATAAATAATAAATAACAGAATGGGCAACAGTGTTTAAATTTAGCCTTTTTTTTTTTACATTTCATTAAAAAAAGAAAATCATAAAGTAACTGGGTTGCACGCAAAGTAATGGGACAATGAAATGTTCCTTTTTTGTGAAAAAATGGTACAACGATTTTTGATAGTTTTTCTACATTTATTTATTTAATTAAATATAAATTCAACATCAATTCATTGTCAAAATTATAATTATAATATTTATGTATTTATTTAATATTTAATGTATATTATTGATTGTTTTTGAATGATTTTAATTGTCAGATACAGTTGAGACCACTCAGATA